TCTGATAACCGTCTATGTGTTGTGTAGATTCTTCCATTCAGATCACCCAACCCAAGGCCTCTGATAACCGTCTATGTGTTGTGTAGATTCTTCCATTCAGATCACCTAACCCTAGGCCTCTGATAACCGTCTATGTGTTGTGTAGATTCTTCCATTCAGATCACCCAACCCAACCCCAGGCCTCTGATAACCGTCTATGTGTTGTGTAGATTCTTCCATTCAGATCACCCAACACCAGGCCTCTGATAACCCCAGATAACCAATAAACCGTTGATTGATAGCTTGATTCGATCGATCAGATTTGATTAAGAGCGCGCTACGATTCGCGTCGTGGTATAATTACTTACACTGCAGCAAAGACAAACGAAGATTGGTAATTATCATTAAAGTCACGCTCTGGGTAGCACGCTGTACCGTGTAATTAAGTAATCATGTGATTTGACCTGATTTCATTGATTGATGCTTTCCTTCTTAAAATAAAACTTACTTTTCCTATTCAATTAATGATTTTTAATTTAACCATTTTTCAAATAAAAGTAAAATACCACAAACCGTTTTTGTTCTAGCAAGCTCGTAACAGAAATAAACATTCACCAAAATGGTTTTTACAATAGAGATTACAAACTAAGATATTCAAAAACTGTTAGTAGTAAATTAGTAGTTGATAAAATAAATCGGATTTAAAAACTCTTTATCGTAACAGATGTATCTTGGTTATCTGACACGGTAGAAATATTTGATAACACTGGTCTAATCAAGTTTGTACGGCTGGTGTAAAGTTTTTACACGGCTGGTTTAAAGTCTTTATATGGCTGGTTTAAAGTCTTTATATGGCTGGTTTAAAGTCTTTACATGGCTGGTGTAAAGCCTTTATATGGCTGGTGTAAAGTCTTTACATGGCTGGTGTAAAGTCTTTATAATGGCTGGTGTCAAGTCTTTATAGGGCTGGTGTAAAGTCTTTATATGGCTGGTCTTAAAGTTTAATTGTCTCTGGTCTAAAAGTCGTGTGTGTCGCTTTTCTTAAAATCTTGTTTAATGGCTTTAATGGCTTTAACTAGCGACACAAACAAGACTTTTAGACCTGAGGTATAAAGATTTTAAGACGAGCAATCCTTAAAACCTTCGTCGTAAAATTGTGTGATTTAAACCAACAATACTCAAGAAATACAACTACTCAAACTCAGCCGTATTACTTATTGATTTGATTATTTATTAATACCATACTTTTATTCTTAAACATAACTGTTTTTTAACTTTATAAAAGTATATTTTTTTAGCTTTATTTTTAAACACTAAGTTTAAGGTTGGACATACGATAACTGTGACGTTATCTAATCAAGCCCATCACATGTGTAGGTGTCAGACACTAATCAGAGAAGGTATTTGGTCAATAGCGTAGGGAAAGGTCGGCTTAATTACGTGCATGCTGATTTGATTTCGTCCGGATTTTATTTTGTAACTGTTCATTTGACAAAAAGATACATTTCAATGGTGAGTTGTCGCTCCGTTTTATTTTTAATATTGTATTTTTAATGTTTATTTAATTTTTTAATTGTATTTTTTCTTTTTTTTTTTCTTTTTTTAATTGATATTAAAATTGCTTAATTGTTATCTGTGGGGGAAAAATAGACTGTGTTGTTGTAAGAATTAGGTATCTAAACTAGGACTAAATGACTGATCAAATGGTTTGGTCTAATGATTGATCTAATGGTTTGGTGTAATGATTGCTCAAATGATTTGGTCTAATGATTGATCTAAATGATGGGTCTTATGATTGATCTAATAGTTTTCCTAGGCAGGTTCGATAAACTTATTGTATTAAAACGTTATTAACTAACTGGTTGGACTAAAATATAATTAACCCGTTGGTTGGACTAAAAATTAATCAACCAACTGGTTGGACTAAAAATAATTAACCAACTGGTTGGACTAAAACGTAATTAACTGTTTGCACTCAAACGTATTTAACTACTTGATTTGACAAAAACCTAAATAACCAGCTGATTAGACTCAAACCTAATTAACCAGCTGATTAGACTAAAACCTAATTAACCAGCTGATTAGACTCAAACCTAATTAACCAGCTGATTAGACTAAAACAAAAACAACAGACCTAGCACTAGAACAGTAAGCGAAGATTAGCACAGGGAAGCCATTAACTGACAGTTACAAATCAAGCCAAGCCCACCCGGAAACTGGACATTGGCTCTCCGATCTTGGAACCTTTAGACAAATGTCATCGTCTTGTTAATTAGTTGACCTCTGACCTCTAGGGTGTACTGGCATTAGATGACAGGAAACAAGCAGGGTAGCACCAGACTTTCATTGCTGATTTAATGACAGGATCGGGCTTTATGTTGTAAACATTCTTTGATGTATTTGTGTACGATGGTAAAATCTTACCAGACATTGATTGCTGATTTAATGTTGGGCTTTGTGTTGTAAACATTATTTGATGTATGTGTGTACGATGGTAAAATCTTACCAGACATTGATTGCTGATTTAATGTTGGGCTTTGTGTTGTAAACATTCTTTGATGTATTTTTGTATGATGGTAAAATCTTACCAGACTTCCATTGCTGATTTAATGTTGGGCTTTATGTTGTAAACATTCTTTGATGTATTTGTGTACGATGGTAAAATCTTACCAGACATTGATTGCTGATTTAATGTTGGGCTTTATGTTGTAAACATTCTTTGATGTATTTGTGTACGATGGTAAAATCTTACCAGACTTCCATTGCTGATTTAATGTTGGGCTTTATGTTGTAAACATTCTATGATGTATTTGTGTACGATGGTAAAATCTTACCAGACATTGCTGATTTAATCACAGACTCGGGCTTTGTGTTGTAAACATTCTTTGATATGTTTGTGTACGATTTTAAACTGCCATACGCCTCTAAGTCTTCAGTTTGTATACAATTTACAAGAGGTGTCTCATATCAAGCACTTTATCTATCTCTCCAATCTAATTCTACCCTATCTAAATTACTTCTGTCCTAAGTCCAATACTTCTACTCTAAGTCCAAAAATAATACCCTTATCCAATATTTCTAATTTTAGTCCAATACTCCTACCCATTATCAAACTATTGTTTATTCCATATTTCAACTCTTAGTCCTTTTTTTACCCTTACTCTAATACATATACCCATAGCCCAATACGTTACCGTAATTCAACCATGTTTACCCTTTCCAAAATATTTTACCCTTATACTAATTGTTCTAAACTTTTCATACCGTTCAGTAAATTTGCTGAGAAATTATCCTATATAGCTTAATCTATACTGTCTATTCATAATGCCATTACACTGAGAGAAAAAAAATGACATCAGTTTCTTCCTAGATGTCCTCAAACTTCGGTGGTGGTGTCCCTTAAAGTAGTGCCTCCCACCCCACGCCATCTTTTGGTATAACAGTTGCTTGTATTTCTCTGCTCAGCCTGTTTTTCTTGTTGTATGTTCGCTACACATTCCAATACGTTTTACATGAAGAAAAGTCAACACGTTTTATCAAAAGCAACGAATGCCATTCGACTTCTGTGAGTGTGTGTGTCCAAAAACGTCGACTTCTGTATGAGTGTGTGTATGTGTGTGTATGTGTGCGTCCGAAAACGTCTTAATGAGTGTGTGTATGTGTGTGTGTGTATGTGTTCGTTCGTTCGAAAACGTCGTCTGTATGTGTGTATATATGTCCGAAAAGTCTACTTCTGTATGTGTGTATGTATATATCCGAAAATGTCGACTTCTGTATGTGTGTATGTATACATCCGAAAATGTCGACTTCTGTATGTGTGTATGTATATGTCCGAAAAGTCTACTTCTGTATGTGTGTGTGTGTGTTGATGAAGAGACTTAGAGGAGGAGGCTGGTTAAGGGCCATTTGTAGGTGCACAAGTTGAGTTTAAAATCGGTAGCTCACACCGTACACAAAAACACAACCTGGGTACAAAAATGTGTACATTTAACCTGCGTACAAAAATGTGTACATTTAACCTGCGTAAAAAATGTGTACATTTAACCTGCGTACAAAAATGTGTATATTTAACCTGCGTACAGAAATGTTTACATTTAATCGCGTAAAAAATGTGTACATTTAACCTGCATACAAAAACGGGTACATTTAACCTGCTAAGAAAAATGTGTACATTTAACTTGCGTAAAAAATGTGTACATTTAACCGGCGTACAAAAACGTGTACATTACACACATTTTAAAACAAAACATCGCATCATACGTGGGTGTCGGCGTGGTCGTGCAGGTAAAGCTCATGGCTGCTAACCTGACGAGTCCGACGTTCGAACCTCAAATTATAAGCGCCTTGTTGCTTGCTCTTAGATGAACAAAATCTAGAAAGCGGCTTTCAACTAATTGCTAATATCATTGTGGTTACAATTTTTAAAAATCGATACTTTTGAAAATCTGCATATTTTTTAATACGAAAAATAGTAAACACAAACAATGCTTCTATTACTTTGATTTATTTTTCTACATGTTTTCTAAATATTACTAATAAATAATTCTAAAAAAAAATTAAAGCAGATATTTCCGAACAGAATAAAACGATGTGTAAATTTAACGTTTATAAAAATTGTAAGGTATGCATACACAAGTCATATTATTGTTTAAGTAAATGGGAATTAAGTGCTACAAGACGTTATAAATCTGTGGTGACCTTCATATGGGAGGGGTTGGGGTGGAGGGTTTAAAAATGTGTGTCGACGTCATAAACGGATCACCTCAATTCAAAGCAACAATTAAATCTGTTGCTAACAGAACCTTGCACAGGAAACCCTGAAAACTCCCCGGGCACTCAGCTTCACGAGCTGTACCCAGTCATCCCGTCTGCTCAAACTAATCATGACGTAACAGCCCGTGCTCCGTGCCGTTCTGTCTCTGACACACCCTCCCGCCGCAATCATCCTTCTGCGCATGCCCACGTTAGGGAATCGATTCCAAGTAACTACCTGTCTGTCGTTTAAAGCGACATAACTCTCCTCGCTATCGGCGTTGTCGAGTCTTTGGGTAACTTGTTCCATGAGATCTATGACCAGCACCTCTGTAGTGCCGACTTCCTGTGTCGGATAGGACAGTGGCAATGGGGAAATAAATTGGACGAGTAGTCCCGGGTCAACACGGTGAAATGTGCTCTTTCTGTGATTTTAACAACAGGTATGTTGAATGCGTTTCGAAAGATTTTGTCGTCTGTGTGTTGAGGATAAGAGTAGACAATTATTTTAACCATAGTTAACAATATATTATAAAAATATTTTCAGTATATGTGTTAGGTAATGTACTTTTTATTATTATTAATATGCTTAATTTTATCTTAAATATGTATCTACATTATATATTATATAATGTATCTTTATCTATACATATACGTACAAGTATATTATATGATTATATATGTATAAGCATATATATATATATAAATATATTTAAACGTGTATATATATATATATATATATATATATATATATATATATATATATATATATATATATATATAATAAACAATGTTTAGGTAATTTTTTTTTCCCACATTTGAATCTGTATTACGTAATTCTTAATGTGTGCATGTTTCTTACATTGCTTAATTATAAAGAAACGTAAATTTGAGAGTGTTGAATAAAAATCTCGCGAGGGTACAAACTGACTGTTTCAAGGAAATTCTACCAAAAAATAAATCATCTGTTTCAAGCCATAGTTCTCGTGAGTAGGGTACTGTTCTATTTATAGCCACGAGTGCACGTGTCGAGGGACCTGAGCACTAATTGACGTATGTTCTATTTGATGAAAACACGTGTAGGGGGTGAGTAAAGGTGGGGGGGGGGAAGAACCCAGTTTGTTGAAATTAAAACTACCATTCAATTTTCTCGTACGCTTGGGCTAATAAGCGCGCGCGGGGCTTTAATGTAAACCTCCCCCTACACCACCCGCCCCTTGTGTTTAGACCTGCTGGTGTTGTAGTGTTGTAGAACTGGGCCTTGGATGTGTTCTGGTCTTTTCTTCATCCTGCCAACCGTTACTCTTGTTTTCACGTTATAACTCTAGACAGTTATTTGTGTTTTTTTTTTTTTTTTTTTTTTTTTTTTTTTTGTAATCAACAAAACAAGTGTGTAGGGGTTGTCGGAAAACATGAATTTTTAACAAGTATGGATAGAGAATGTAAAACAGTAATGGGATGTAACTCCGTAATGGTCATAGATTAGTGGACAAATTTAAAGGGAAAATACCGTAACAAGAATCGTCTAGTAAACAAAAATTAGAATATCTTGATGACGTGTCTTTAGGGTCGGTTTTAGTTGAATATCGCTGTTGCGTTAATTAATTTTAATTAGAAACAGGAAATTGATAGCCCAGATCTGTTAAAATAAATTAGTAATTATAAAAACAGGAAGTGAATATTTTCGGCGCTGTTAAAACCTGAACCAGTTTATTATTTCACATTTTTAATGTCAGTCGTCTAAACTTTGACGCAAAAACTTGTGGTTTTTTTTCGTATCTTCTACGTTTTTACTTTTAATATTGAACGTTACATCATCCACATATTTAGCATAATGTGTCTAAATCATGTTGTACCCCGTGTAGACCAATGATTCCTATTTCAACCTGCTTTTATTTCTAAATTTGCTTCCACAGCCTTTGTAAACCTAAGAACAACCTCCAAGACAGCTTTGTTAGATTTTGGAATTTTCCAACTTAGATGAGATGCTGTCACCAGCTAACGAGCCTCATCTACCCACCAATACAAATTATACTATTGGTTACACCAGGTGGCTACTATTGTATGCACGTTTGAAATACTATCGCTTGCCCTTGTTGTGCATTAAAATAATGGCTCTTTGCTTCCAAGGGAGACGACTGAGATTTCCTCAGCGGAGATTTACATTTTTAATTAGGAATTACCAAAGGAATTTTTATGAGTCATCAGCCAAGATTTTGCCATATTTTGATTATTCCCAACGTTAATGAAGATTGTATGTCTATACTCATGTAGACTGTGTCTATACCGATGGACTGTGTGTCTATACAGATTAGACTGTATGTCTATATCGATGAAGATTGTGTATACTGAAGTACACTGAGTGTCTATACCGATTAGACTGTGTCTATACCGATTAGACTGTAGGTCTATACCGATGTAGACAGTGTTTCTATACCGACGTAGACAGTGTGTCTATACCGATGTAGACAATGTCTCTATACCGATGTAGACAATGTCTCTATACCGATGTAGACAATGTCTCTATACCGATGTAGACAGTGTGTGTATACCGATGTGTGACAGACACACTACCAAGATGGTTATAGATTTCTTCTGACGTAATTGATCTCCCCATTAAAACACATCATCTGTCTAGACTACTCTACTGGACAGTGCATACGCAGCTAAACCTGAGACCTTTGTGTGGTCTGCAATTTATTTTGGTTGGCTCAAGAATGGTCGAATCACCATTTGACATTTTCCTTTCCTTAAAAAAAACTGTGTATGTCTGAGCTGAGCCAACATATAAAAAAACCATAGAAATTTGAAGTCAAATTTTTACCTCTTGTGGCTTATCATAGCCGTCTAGAATCGCTCATTATCTACATAAACTCACGTATTTAAAGTCGATTGCTTAAAAATTATTTTAATTTTTTTTTAATTATCCTTGTCATTAAACATAAGCCACATATAACAATCTTGACCACAAACACACACATATATACACTCACACACATACACTCACACACACTTCTTGACCAAACAAGTAAACAAGCACTCTAAACAACAAAGAACCCCACACAAAACAAGTTTTTGCACACACACAGAGATTCTTTCAGGCATCTCTCCTGGGACATTACCCCCTCCGTACCTAACCTAGCACGCCCACTGACTTTCTTCTTCCAAGTGCCAACCCCCTCCCTCAAGACAAATATTAGAAAGATAATCTGCACAGAACATAAACACATAAAGCAAGTATTTGTACACAAAACAAACATTCACTCGCGAGTTTAGTTGGGTTAAATGTTACTGTAACGTAACATGATTGTTGAAACCGTTCAATGAGGTAAACCAAACCACTAATTAAAACCTAGTAAATAAATGCAGATCCGTGTTTTTATGTGCCTATAATGTGCTCAGTCCTTTATGGCGAACACGTGTAAAACATACCATGTTGCTCATAGATCTAGTAACTGACCAATGAACAGGCTTTGGTGTTTTACAAAAGGTAAAATGTAACTAAGCGATATTGTGTTAGTCGTTGTTTTTTTTTTTTTACAGAGCACTGATGTGTTTTGTTTACATCGGTGATTGAAGGTTTAACTGTACACAGCTTCTTGAGAGGCTGTTTAACATCAGGACTCAAATACAGCATCTTACCAAAAGCCCTGTCAGTTTACCACAGACCTAGACCTAGACCCTGTCAGTTTACCACAGAACTAGACCCTGTCAGTTTACCACAGACCTAGACCCTGTCCGTTTACCACAGACCTAAACCCTGTCAGTTTACCACAGACCTAGACCTAGACCCTGTCAGTTTACCAAAGACCTAGACCTAGACCCTGTCAGTTTACCACAGACCTAGACCCTGTCAGTTTACCACAAACCTAGACCTAAACCCTGTCAGTTTACCAAAGACCTAGACCTAGACCCTGTCAGTTTACCACAGACCTAGACCTAGACCCTGTCAGTTTACCACAGACCTAGACCTAGACCCTGTCAGTTTACCACAAACCTAGACCTAGACCCTTTCAGTTTACCACTCACCTAGACCTAGACCCTGTCAGTTTACTACAGACCTAGACCATGTCAGTTTACCACACACCTAGACCCTGTCAGTTAACCACAGACCTAGACCCTGTCAGTTTACCACAGACCTAGACCCTGTCAGTTTACCACAAACCTAGACCTAGACCCTTTCAGTTTACCACTCACCTAGACCTAGACCCTGTCAGTTTACCACAGACCTAGACCTAGACCCTGTCAGTTTACTACAGACCTAGACCCTGTCAGTTTACCACACACCTAGACCCTGTCAGTTAACCACAGACCTAGACCCTGTCAGTTTACCACAGACCTAGACCCTGTCAGTTTACCACAGACCTAGACCCTGTCAGTTTACCACAGACCTAGACACTGTCAGTTTACCACAAACCTAGACCTAGACCCTGTCAGTTTACCACAGACCTAGACCCTGTCAGTTTACCACAGACCTAGACCTAGACCCTGTCAGTTTACCACAGACCTAGACCCTGTCAGTTTACCACAAACCTAGACCTAGACCCTGTCAGTTTACCACAGACCTAGACCCTGTCAGTTTACCACAAACCTAGACCTAGACCCTGTCAGTTTACCACAGACCCAGACCCTGTCAGTTTACCACAGACCTAGACCCTGTCAGTTTACCACAGACCTAGACCTAGACCCTGTCAGTTTACCACAAACCTAGACCTAGACCCTGTCAGTTTACCACAAACCTAGACCTAGACCCTGTCAGTTTACCACAGACCTAGACCTAGACCCTGTCAGTTTACCACAGACCCAGACCCTGTCAGTTTACCACAGACCTAGACCTAGACCCTGTCAGTTTACCACAAACCTAGACCTAGACCCTGTCAGTTTACCACAGACCTAGACCCTGTCAGTTTACCACACACCTAGACCTAGACCCTGTCAGTTTACCACAGACCTAGACCTAGACCCTGTCAGTTTATCACAAACCTAGACCTAGACCCTGTCAGTTTACCACAGACCTAGACCCTGTCAGTTTACCACACACCTAGACCCTGTCAGTTTACCACAGACCCAGACCCTGTCAGTTTACCACAGACCTAGACCTAGACTCTGTCAGTTTACCACAGACCTAGACCCTGTCAGTTTACCAAAGACCTAGACCTAGACCCTGTCAGTTTATCACAGACCTAGACACTGTCAGTTTACCACAGACCTAGGCATAGACCCTGTCAGTTTACCAAAGACCTAGACCTAGACCCTGTCAGTTTTCCACAGACCTAGACCCTGTCAGTTTACCACAGACTTAGACTCTGTCAGTTTACCACAGACCTAGCCTAGACCCTTTCAGTTTACCACTCACCTAGACCTAGACCCTGTCAGTTTACCACAAACCTAGACCTAGACCCTTTCAGTTTACCACACACCTAGACCCTGTCAGTTAACCACA